TGCGGGAAGAGGGGGACCTCAGGGGGATACGTTTCCAAGCTTCGGAGCAGCTCACAAGAAAGCTGCCCTTCTCTGTGGGAACCTCTGCATTAGCGCTTAAGCACCAGGAAATCCAATAAAGCTGAAAATTACAGGGCAGACATACTCTGTTAACGCCAACTCTTTATTTGCACTGTAGCTGTGACCCATTTAATTGTAGGGTTTAAGAAAGAAAAAAAGGCACCAGGTTGAGGCAGAATAATTACATAGGAAGACTCAAGTTGTTCTTCGTGGGGGAGAACAGGACTCCTTAAGGTCTTTGCCTTCCCTCCCAGCCCGTCATTCCTTCCCCTTCATCTCCGGATTGTCAGAGCAGTCCCAGTTCCCAGACAAAGGAAGCCCCGCCCAGCCGCTCCTGGGAGCCTTAGCAGTACCTTGATGTCGCTCTCCATGGTGAGGGTAAAGCTCAGCGAATTTTCTCCATAGCTGTCGATGTGGATGTCTGGCGGGGGGGTCGCTGGAAACAAACAAAGGTATTGGAAAGAGCAGCTCCTGAGGACGAGTGAGGAAGGAGATTGCAACCCAAAGGACAAAGCCATCATTCCGCTGGGGAACAAAGGGCATTTCTTTGGCTGTTTTGACTCTCGGATCTCTTTTTACCACTGTTTTTCTGTTGCTGTTGTTTTTTTGAAGCTGGCGTTGTCGGACACAGGTTTGCTCACTCGCTCGCTCTCCCGGAACCTGAGCAGAAAGTTCCATGGGGTCATGCTCTCAACAGCAGGGCTCACAGTGATTGCCCCCGTGGGTCCGGCAGACTGGCAGGAGCGTCAGTCATGTCACCAACCATAAATGTGTGCATCTCCTTGCCACCAAATTGATTCCTTTGTGTGTTTCTGAGACTAACTCTTTATGGGAGGAGAAAGCCTCTTTCTCCCATGGAGCGACTGGTGGTTTCGAACTGCTGACCTTAGTTTGTGATATCCTGGCCGGATGTCAGAACAGAAATGTGGACTGGAGTTTGTTGGGGAGGAATGTGGAGTTCGACAAACTCAGTTCACACTTGGTTCGGACATCCAGCCAGGATATATGCCGGGGCAAGTTGCACCACCCAGGGACCTCATAAAACCCACACAAATCCACTACTGTTGAGTGGATTCCCTATCAGAGAGAGCCTCACGGAGCTGGGAAAATGAAGTAAAATAATGTATGCAAAATGCTGACTGCTCATCTTATGTTCCTTTCCTCCTCTCCCCGGATAATAAATCCACCTGACATGACAGATTAAAGAGTCAATAAGCAATCTGCTTTCTCAGAAAGATCTGAATGCCAACAGAGTTGAGGGGCCAGGAGGAAAAGCCAGAGAGAAAAGCCTGGGAGGGCACTGCCAACTTTGGTGTGGCCAGACTGCCAGAGTGACAAGGAGGGGCCAAGGAGAAGAGAATCAGGCCTCCAGCTTGTAAAGCAGCTCCCTTGCTGGCTTGCTACAGATTGCCCACCTGGCCTGCAGACTTTGGACACTGGCTCACTGGGCCCCTGGCTTGGCTCATCTATGGGTTTTATACTTGCCAGCACTACAATAGTGTGGGCCAATTCCTAGAAGTAAAGCAGTATCTTGATAGATGGACAGACAGACAAATTGTTTCTCTGGTAAGCCGTGTGCACACTCCAAAGGGTCTGCCCGGCAGACACGCAGTTACTAGTGCCATCAGCTCCTGTGCTGGAGGCATCCATCTACACAGTCTCTCAGCATCAGGGGCAGGAAGGACAGCGTCCACTGACTTAAAACGGCTCAAGTGAGCCTGCGCAGACCCATCTTCACTGAGCCGAGCAGGCTCCTGTGTGGGGTACAGTCAATACTGTACCTCCTATGAACAAGGGGTCAGGAGGATGACCTTTGGGGGTACTCTGCATACTTGCATTAAAAGAAATGCTCCATTCCAAGTTGAGGATGCTATTCAGTGTCCCCAAAGCACAATGAATAAACTCTAACCATGTCTCTCAGCGGGGGGGTGGGGGGGTGGGGGGTGTGCTAACCTAGGCTCTCTACTCTCCAGACCAGACTCAAAGTTATCTCCAAAGGGTTTCCATCTTCTCCCACTCTGCAGATGCTGGGATTGTTTACCTTTTCCTTTTGTGGTGGTAATGGATTTAGAGTCGCTCCAGTTTCCTATTCCACGACTAGTCACCGCAGCCACCTTTCAGAGCAGAGTGTGAATTAGTGTGAAATAAAGGCGATTTACCATACAGCAAGCACGCCGAACGACTACACGGGGGAGGCCTCGGCAGTGAGCCTGGACAATGATGCCCGGGGGGCCCAGGGCGGGCAGCGGCCTTGGCAATGGGAATGAGAGGGGCCTGGCAAAGGGAAGTAGGGCAGTGCTAGGTAATGGAATAACTAGTGACCGAAGGATGGCAAGGCCTTTTCTGTGCAGCAAGGGTGGGGGTGTATCTATGCACACACACATATAAATGCACACATATGGTGTGTGTGTGTGTGTGTGTGTGTGTGTGTGTCTACGGTCATCGGATTGATCGTGACTCATTGTGCCCTATGAGGTCGTCGAAAACTGCAAATCTTATGTGAGCAGGCAGTCTCATCTTTCTCCCATGGAGCAGCGGGTGGGTTTGAACCACTGACCTTGTGGTTAGCAGTCCAACTCCTAATCCACAGTACTACTAGGGATCCTGGTGTGTCTCTATAGACACATAAATACACATACATGCATGCAAAAGGTGCTGTGGGACGTTGGGAAACGGCCCAGGCGCACTTTAAGAAACTCTCCTACAGGCTACCATAGAGGTGGAAACATCACTATGTATCTGCTGGAGCTCTGGAATGCACAACACAGTCAGTCCCAGTGCAGCCCATGCACGTGAGCGCATGTCACGGGACCTGTGCTGGTACCCCAGCCGTCCCACAGGAAAGGGGTCGGTGACGAGAACAGGGTATCCACAGTGGGGAAATCCCTCTACTCCTGTGTGTTCTGTAAGCCCCAAACTGCTCTAAAATACGAGTATCATTGAGCCAATTCTGAGTCACAGCAATCCTGCAGGGCAGAGAACTGTCCCACAGGGTGTCCGTGGCTTCACAGACACAGGCGGCTACATCTTCCTCCCAAGGCCACTGTGCTGACCCTCCCCTTAGCAGCACAGTGCCTAGCCTGCACCATCAGGGCTCCAAAATTAAAGCATATGCAAATAAGCGTACTGTGAAACTAGTAGCGTTAAAGGAGTCTCTGACTTGTGCATTCAATGGCACCAACCAACACGTTCCGCACAATATCGGTTTACCAGGCACCCGTTAGAGCTTCGCATCAAATGGTGCTGATGATGGGCTAGAGATGAGGCTGCACGAGTTCAGAAGGTCGAAAGCACAGCAAGCGGAGGATCCGGGATAAAAGCGGCACAAGCTGCCTTCCGTTAGGCGCTCAGCTATCTGCGGAGAGTCCCTTTTGAATTCTCTGTGGCCTCCTCTCGCGAGACTGGGAGAAAACCATGAGTTCCGGGGCGAGGGCCGGAGGAGTCTGCAGACGCCTAAACTGGACCGCCTAAGTTCTCAGACACTGGGGACCCACCACTGTCCAGCTAACTGAGAGGGCTGTCAGCACTCACCCTGACGGTGTAGAGGGTGTTGACCAGCAAGTCCTTTATTTCTGTGGAGTTGCTCGCTGCCCTCTGGGAAGCCCATATCTTGGAACCACTCCTGCTGTATTCTACCTGAAGGGAGAAGACAGGTCAGTCAAGGGTGGTCTGCAGGCATGCTTCAGCCACACAGAGGCAAAATGCTCCCACACGAATGAGCCTTGGAAACAAGTCAGTCACACCAGGACGGCTGCTGCAGGCCCCCACTTATCAGGAACAGGTAGACTCGGGCAGTGTCTAGAGACTAAGGTTTATGAGTGGTCACTCCGCAGGGGCTGGGGGAGGAGGGGAAGGGGAGTTATTGCTATGGGGGCCTGAGTTGCAATTTGGGGTGATGTGAGAGTTTTAGAAAAAGGGGTGATGTTAGTACAACACACTGAAAGCAATGTTACTGAAACACACATATAAACATGGCAAATGGTCTGTGTGTGTGAAGGTACATACATACATTACTAGGGGGATTCAGAAAGCCGATGGAAAAATTCCACTCTTTCATAATTCCATTTTCTTACGAACTTTCTGAAGACCCTCTGAGTACAACAAAATTTAACTTTTAAAAAAAGGCAAATAGATGTCTGGGGCATCCTGTTACCTTAGGAGGCTGTGGGAAGAGAGGAGGATACAGAGGAGGGTGGGTAGGAGCTGTTATAAGGAATGGGGCCATTGTAACCAATATGGATACAATGTATCCACAGGGTATCCACAGCATTGTATCCACTCAGGGGTGACCTGCCAGGTCACATAGGGTAAACTTGTCTCTAAAGTAAGCTGACCAGACGTCCCGCTTTTGGTGGGGCAGTCCTGATTTTCAACAATTTTTCCTGCATTCCGTGGCATTTTTAAAAAGTCCTGATTTTTGGAAAGAATGCATGATAAGCTATGGTATACGGTTTTGGCTGCCATGTGGCTATTTCACCAGGATGAGTTTTATCAATGGTGTCCCGCTTTACCAATGTTAAAATCTGGTCACCTTACTCTAAAGTCAAAAATCTCCTCTCCAACACACAGGGTCAGCCGCGGAAGACACTTACAGTGTACTCTCGGATAAGGCCATGGGGGTGGGCAGGAGGAGTCCAGCGACCCGCAATCACACCTTCCGCCTCACTGTGGAGTGACAGCTGCAGGTTCCGAGGGGCCTCTGGCACTAGGAAAGAGTCACGTGGGGATTAAAACCCACCCGCGTACTAGTGCACTAGCAATTCTCCTGAGCTTCACACAAGGACCAAAAAAAGATGCCTTGGAACCACCCACTCCACTAGAAAAGGTCATCAACTTGCCCTTCACATTGACACGAAAACCCTTCTTCTTCCTGCAGAATACAGGAGTGTCCTGCCCCACTCACTGCCGGACCGTTTGTCAAGACTGTGCTGGCTTGAGTGTGCCTGTGACGCTGGAAGCTAGACAACTGGGCTTCCAAGGACAGCAGAGTAACCTATGGTGGGCAGCTGTCAGTGGAGTTTCTAGACCAGGTGTCCTCAAACTGCGGCCCGCGGGCCACATGCGGCCCGCCGAGGACATTTATCCGGTCCGCTGGGTGTTTTTGCCGTTGCTGCCTGTCCTGCTTAGCAGTCGACTCGTCCAGTGTGCATATGAATTTGTTCATAGTTTTTTCTTAAACTATAGTACAGCCCTCCAACGGTCTGAGGGACAGCGAACTGGCCCCCTGTTTAAAAAGTTTTGAGGACCCCTGTTCTAGACTCACAAACTAGGAAGAACAGTTTGGCGATCTACTTCGGAAAAGTATCCACTCAGAGATCACACACAGCACTGGCTGGCTTGCTTACTTTGGGCCCATCCTCAGGAACAATCAATTGCTGGGGGGCAACATCGTGGTCCGTGAAGCCGAGGGCCAGTCAGAGCGAGGGAGGGAGACCAGCGGTGAGATGGACTGGCATGCAGCCAGAGGCGAACTTGAGGAGGAGGAGGACACAGGGCCGGACAACATTTTGTTCCACTGCACATAAGGTCACCAGGAGTCACAGCTGATCGAAGTTGAGTCGACTTTATATCAATTTGTGGCTCACAAGGGGTGCAGGATGGAGTTGCTTGGGCAGGCAGAATCATCGTTGCTCTTGGGACTTTAATTCTGGGGTCTGTTTGTTAAGAACAGCACCTGCTACTCAACTTCTCAGACAGCGAGAGAGATCCGTGGGCATGACGACAAAGGGATGGGACACCTGACATGCTGACATGCCCTCCAGACACTTCCGGCTCTTCTCTGTGGCTGCCTTCAGAACCAGGGGAAGCCCACAATGCTTCCTAGTCAGACTTCCTGTTGACTGGAGAGAGTATTTCTCCAACTGGAGAAATCATCTCCACAGAAGAATCATCTTCATCCACAACGTGTGACCCATACGTACTGCAAGGGCAGGGACTGTCTTATTCACCTACCAAGCTTTCACACTTAACATAAAGCCTGGTGTGTGCTTAGTTAATATCCGTGGAACGACCCCCGAGACTAGGGTTCTCTCAAAGATATCTCTGTAGATTTGGGTGGCCGTTGCAAATGAAGAGTTCCCAAAATATGCCAGGCCATGGGAACACATCACTGGAATGAGCAGCTATTCACCCAACATCAACAACCTTAAAGAAATGGACTCTCTGGGCACATGGGTTTGGGTTTCTTTCTCTACAAAAGCCACACTATTGATTGTCGCTCCTATTACTAGGTGCTGGCTGTCAAGGCAGCTCTCCAATTCCAGACAAGCCCGTGGGAACCACACCAGGCGACATTGCCTGGTTCTGCGCC